TTTTTTTTTAAATGGGAGGCATTCTGGACATCCCTTCTGCATCGTCACAATTCAGTTCAGTCCATCTCCAAGTCCTGCCAATTCTACCTCCAAATTACGCCTGGATCCAGCAGAGTGGCACATGCCTGTAATCCCAGCAACTCGGGAGGCAAGAGGATCACAAGTTTAAGGTCAGCCTGAGCAACTAACGAGAGAATCCTGTTTCTAAATAAAAAGGGTTGGGGATGTAGCTCAGTGGCTAAGCACCACTGGGTTCAATCCCCAGTGCCAAAAAAATGAAAGCCAAAAAACACCATCTTTACCTTCACCAACTAGGCCAAGACCACCATCATCTCTTATCATGTCTTTTTCCCAGCTGACCTCCCTCCATCCATTCCACTGGCTCTAGTCTGCTCTCTTCACAACAAACAGCCAGAGTGGTTTTTTAAAAGTGAAAATCTTAGAGCACTTGTCTACCATGAGCAAGGCCCTGGGTTGGATTCTCAGCACCGCAAAAAAAAGAAAGAAAATCTTATCATGTACTACTTAAGATTCTTTAATAACTTCCAAAGTCACTTAATAATTGTTTCTTCACAGTGCTGGGGATCAAACCCAACGCCTTATACATGTTAGGCAAGTGGTTTATCACTAAGCCACACCCCAACCCCAACACACTAAATATTTATAAAAAAAAAATCTTATTATTTACTAGACCCTGTATGCTCCTCCCCTTACTAACCTCACTTACTGTGACCTTCTCCAATACCTTACACTTTAGCCCTCATTAGCAGTGGCAATGTCCTAGTTCTTCAAACAGACCATAGAAGAATTTAGCACAAAGCCCGATAAGCAGCAGGCATTCAATAAATGCAAACTCTTGTTATTATCTCTTAGTTCTTCTCTACCTCTAAGTCTTCACAGATGCTGGTCCTTGTTTCAGGTATTCTTCTCTTTACTCTTCTAACTTTCTAACTAACTTCTTCTCCTTCTTTAAGTCTTTATTTGTTTTTATTGCTATATAACAAATGATCACAAATATAGTGCCTTAAAACAATGTAAAGTTAGGAGTGGGAATGTAGCTCAGTGATAGAATGCTAGCATATGTGAGGCCCAGGGTTTGATCTCTAGCACTGCAAGAAAAAAAAAAAGAAAGGACAAAAGAAAAAAAAAAGCATAAATGTATTATTTTACAGTTTCTAAGGGTCAGGAGCCTGGCACATTTTAGCTGGGTCCTCTACGCGGAGTTCCTTTGAATGGCTCACCTGATTAGGTCAGGCCCACACAGAATATTCTCCCCCCCTTTTTTTTGCAAGGAGGGTACCCATGATTGAACTTAGGGGTACTTGACCACTGAACCACATCTCTAGCCTTTTTTTTTTTTTGTATTTTATTTAGGGACAGGGTCTCACTGAGTTGCTTAGTGCCTCACTTTTGCTGAGGCTGGCTTTGAACTCTCAATCATCCTGTCTCAGCCTCTCAAATTGCTGGGATTCCAGGTGAGTGCCACCATGCTCGGCTTCTTCATTTCTTAAATGGGAATAATTTTACTTCCTTGACAACTCACCCACTGTTCATGAAGCTTGAGTGAGTCAATAGAGGAGAAATGACAGCGGTAGCAGAATTGTCTACATTGATTTACATGTGGTGCTGAGGATCGAACCCAGTGCCTCATACATGCTAGACAAGCACTCTACCACTGAGCTACAACTCCAGCCCCAATATTCTCCCTCTTGATTAACTCAAAGTTGTTTAAAGACCTTAGTTACATTTGCAAAAGCCCTTCTCTTTTGTATATAACATACTCATTGGAGTGAAATCCATCATATATGTAGTCATATCCACATTCAAGAGGAAGGTGTAATAACAGAAGGTGTATACCAGAGACTGGGAAATTCAGGGACCATTTTAGGATTCTGCCTACCACAAGGTCTCAGCCTAAAAGTTACTTCCTTAAAGAAACCTTTCCTGAATACAAGTAAAATAGGTTCTATAGGCAGTTCAGTGGTAAAGTACTTGCCTCGAATGTGGGAGGCCCTAAGTTTGACTCCCCAACTCTGTAAAAATAAATATAAAAGTAAAGTAAAATATCTGGGTGTGTGACACATTCCTGTGATTTTATAATCCTAGTAACTTGGGAGAGTGAGGCAGGAGGATCCCAAGTTTGAGCCTAGCCTTGGCAACTTAGTGAGACCCTATCTCAAATAAAAATAAAAAGGGCTAGGAGTATAGCTCAGTGGTAGAGTATACAACGTTTTAATCCTCAGTGTGAGAAAGAAAAATTAAAAGTTTCTTGAACATAGATAGTAAATGTACAGTGATTCCTACAGGCCAAAGCCCCTCCTCCCACTGCTAAAATGAAATACCTACTTGATTGGGAATGGTGGGGTGAGAGGAATAGCTCAAAAGGGAGCCCAGGGAGAGAAAGCTAACATGTGAGGTTCTCAGGTGACCCTACAAATGAAAGTCTCACATAGAAGCCAACCTGGAAAGGATCATTTGCTAAACAGTGCTGTCTTCCTCACCTCCCTCTCTCCCGGCTGTGGAATTCCTGGGGCAGGTGGAGGCAGGTTGTTCAAACCTTAGGAACCCCTCTGACAGAGAAGGTATGCGCTCTGAATCCTGCAACCCAGTGCCCAGGGCCCCATGTTCTTGCCTTCTGCCTTTGCTTTTCCAGGATATAGATCATCATGAAAGAGAGTCATTGGGAAGAGGGCAGGGCCACAGGGAAAGCTGGAAAACCCAGCCGACATTACTGCACATCTCCCTGGCCCATTACAGTGACTTAGGTTTCTGCCATGGGATTTACTGTGTGAGTCTCTGTATCACCCTCTTTCAGTTCTCTTTTACAAAGGGACCCCAGGACTTTCCTTCAGCTCACAGTAAACATTCATCAGATCTTTCTCTTTGTGGCTAGGAGGAGTATAGAGCCCTGCTTAAGTCAGGGAAATGGAGCTGACTAGCTGAGCATAGTGGCTCATACCTCTAATCCCAGCAACTCAAGAGGGTGAGGCGGGAGGATGGCAAGTTCGGAACCAGCCTCAGAAATTTAACAAGGCCCTAAGCAACTTAGTGAGACCCTGTCTTAAAAAATAAAAAATGTCAGAGAGGTAGCTCAGTGTTAAACTTCCCTTGGGTTCAATCTCCAGTACCTACCCCACCAAAAAAAAAGAAAGAAAGAAAAGAAAGAAATGGAGCTGACCTGGGGAGGGTTGTGGCTCCAACAGTCTGGCAGCCCTGCCAGCTGAGCTGAAGTCATCCTGGAGCTGAGATGCTTGTGGGATGCCAGAGCTGGAAGAGACTTCCAGGTTCATCCTGTCCACACTCTCTCATTTTACCCATGGAAAACTGAGAGCCCAATGAGGAAGAGGACTGGCCCTAAGTCACACAACTTATGGAGAGGCAGCTAGACCCACCCCCCAAGTGGTCTCTTTGCTATTCCATTTGTTTTTCTCTCTGAGCAGAAGAATCCAAAGTTACACAGGAACAAAAATAAAGCAAGCTCCTCCTGAGCCTCTGGTTCTTCATCTCCTTTTTTTTTTTTTTTTTTTTAGTTGTAGATGGACATAATACCTTTATTTTTATGTATTTATTTTTATGTGTTGCTAGGATGGAACCCAGTCAAGGCAAGCACTCACCCCTGAACCACAATCCCAGGCCAATTCTTCATCTCTTAATGCATTTTTTTTTTGATACTACAGATTGAACCCAAGGGCACTTAACCACTGAGCCCCAGCCCAAGCCCTTTTTTATTTTTTATTAGAGAGAGGGTTTCGCTGAGTTGCTTAGGGCCTCGCTGAGTTGCTTAGGGCCTCGCTAAGTTGCTGAGCCTGAGTTTGAATTCACAATCCTCCTGTCTCAGCCTCTCAAATTGCTGGGATTCCAGGTGAGTGCCACCATGCTCGGCTTCTTCATTTCTTAAATGGGAATAATTTTACTTCCTTGACAACTCACCCACTGTTCATGAAGCTTGAGTGAGTCAATAGAGGAGAAATGACAGCGGTAGCAGAATTGTCTACCCAATGACAAGAAGACTCCAGAGTAGAGGCGACCACGAGGGATCTGACAGTGTGTCAGGACAGATGGGCTCAAAAGATGTGTGTTCACTTTGTGGTCCTCCCCAGGTGGGGCCTTGGCCTGGGTTACCATGGATACCATGTCCCTGGAGCATCAGATTCAGAGCGTGCAGCGACACATCAGCTTCCTGAAAAAGGAACAGATGGCACTACTTCGAGACCTGCACCTGGAAATTCTGAGGCTGCAGAAACGCTGCTCAGGTGAGGCCAAGAGGGCCCGCTGGCTGGCTGGGTGAGGAAGGGTCGTTGTTATCATCATTACTGTTGTCTTTGATAGGGTGACCACCATGAGCCCCTGTGAGTCTCACATTAATCCTGTCACTTCCTTTTCTGGATGAGGAAACTGAGACTTGGGAAGGTAGGATAAGCGCTTTGGGGTTGAGGGCTCTGGTGAGGTTGTAGATGGGGGAACATGGAAACAAGTTCCTACAGATTCCTGTCTTTCTTTGAGTCACTGTTCACTAAGCACCTCAAGCTCTGAAGAAACCATGAGTCTAACTGGGGAGACACATACCAACAGTGATATTAAGATGTAGAAGAGGGCTGTGGTTGTGGCTCATGCTAGAGCGCTTGTGTAGCATGTGGAAGGCACTGGGTTCGATCCTCAGCACCATATAAAAATATGTCCAAGAACAACTAAAAAAATTTAAAAATAAAAAAAGATACAGAAGAAGTCTGGGGATATGGCTCAGTGGTAGAGGGCATGTTTAGTATGCGCAAGGCTTTGTGTTCAATCCCCAGAACTGAAAAATAAACATAAAATAATATATATATATATATAATTCATATATATTCATATATATATATATATATATATATGCATATGTGAAGGTGGGAAGGTTGTTCACAGACAAGGTCATAGTCAACCTGGAGCAAGTGATAAAGGAGGAAACCAAGGCCCCCCAGTGGAGGAAGCACTTCAACTCCTTGAAAGCTGACTAATAAATAGACATGGTAAGATATTATAAGGAGGGCTGGTGTTATAGCTCAGCTGGTACAGTGCTTGCTGTGCATGCACAAGGCCCTGGGTTTGATCCCCACCACCACAAAAAGAAAAAAAAAAGATATTATAAGGAAAGGAAGAAGGAAAAAACCTTCCAAATGGAGGCAACAGCATAGCAAAGGCCAAAAGGTAAGAGATCAAATGCTCATGAAAAGTTCTGTTTGACAGGATAAAATTGATCTGAGAGGAGGCTGGTGAGAAATCCAGCTGGAGGTAGATTGTGGAAGACCGTAACAAATACCAGGATAGCTAAGGAGTTTGGCCTGTCCACTTAGAGGTAGTGGGGAGCCACTGAAGGTTTTTGAGCTCCATCAGCATTATGCTGCCTTAAGAAACTCAATCTGGCAGTTTCATGGAAGATGAATTGTGAGAGAGGGAGATCAGGAGACTTATGGAAGAGCTAATGAGATGGTCCAGAAGAGAGAATGAAGAAGGATGGAAAAGGGAAGGCCAGTGAAAGGCAGGTTGAAGGAAAGGGCTTGGCACCTGATTGGATTTGTGAGTATGGTGAAGAGAGGCAAAGGACAGAACAAAATCCCAGGCTGGCTTCTACTCTTGAACCTGCAGCCTCAGCTGCCTGAGCCTCTCAGAGCCTTGCCTTTGGCCCAAATGCTCACACAGGTTTAGGCTCCCTGAGTACAAGCTTTGAACCATTGGCTACAGAATGTCTCAGCTGGGAGGACCCAATTTGTTTATTGCAGAAATGGGTAAACTGAGGTACAGAGAGAGACTCATACAGTATGTTAAGGGCAGAACCAGGATGCCTAGTCCTATGTGCCTCTTCAGCTTTCTGGACATTCTCTACCTCCAAGATACTCACTCCTCTACCTCTCTTGCAGCCTCTGTCCATGGGAGGGTCCCCACTGCAGGGGGAAACAGGCCTAGAGAGCTTGAGGGACCCACCTGGCTTCTCACACTGTGGCACAAGCAGTAGTTAGTCCTGACTCTCAACCACCACATTCTTCTCCTGGTCCACATACAGGTCAAGCTGCCAAACTCCAAAGCAGGCTTCCTGCAATCTCCCCCCAAAGACCAGATGGCAGCAGAGACCATCCTAAGTGCAGGAATGGTCCATGAGAACTCATCCCTGCCCAATGAAACTTTGGCATTGAAATAACAGCCTTAGAGGAAAATAGTAATCCTAAGACCTTACAGCACTTCCTCGAATTTCTTCTTGTTTTGCCCCAATTCCAAGAACTTGGATCCCCTGGCTCCTGACACAGGCTGGATCCCAAGAAAGTATCATAGGCAGGCACAGAGAGCCCTTTGCCCTCACTACCCTTCTCAAATGGGCTTGGATCGACAGACTCTTGATTATTGATTAAGAAGATAAAAATAACTCTGGACTGGGCTGGAACTGCCACCGTGGGGGCTGAAATGACTGAATAAGGCCCTCCCTCCAGGAGGAAGGGCTGATGAGAAGGGGGAAGAACAAAGGAAAAGATGGGGTGGTGTTGAAGAGCATCGCAGAGGCTAGGAAGGGGATAGGAAAGGAGAGAAGCCAGGAGAGCTTCTGGAAACCTAGGCTGGCTGAAGACTCGGGACAAAGGTGCTTGAGAAGGTGGTGGGTGTGTTCTGGGCTGGCTGTGCAGCCTGAAAGATGACAAGAGCTGCCTATCGCCTACTGTGCACTCAGCACTAACTCAGCCCTGGACCAAGCCCTCTGTTTATTTTCCCTCACTTCCTTCTGGCACCCAGCCCCTTAGAAGTGCTGTTTTGTCCCCATATTCCAGATGAACAGAGGTTCAGAATGGTGCTATTACTGGTCCAAAGTCACAGTGTATCTGACCTCACAGCATGTTCATCGGAACCATGAGGACTCTGGTCAAAAGATGGGAAGGAACATTTGCCAGGTGGAGGAGTGGAGCCTAGCTGGGATTCTCTCTCCCCATCCTCCAGTCCCATGGTGAAAGGCTGAAGAGAAACCAGCCCATAGGGAGGTAGTGGCAAAGCCAAGGTCTCTTGAGCTAAGTTCCTAACCTAGTCCATGGTCCCTTGAGCTACATTGCAAAGTTTTGAGGAGAGGCCAATTGGTCCCAAGAACCCTGCAAGGGTAGAGGCCTCAGAGTCCTCACGGGGTCCCCAGAGAAGAGGTTCAGGCTCCGGTCACAGCAAAGGCCCAGGTACCCTGGGCTCTGTCTCCTGGCAACAAGTGGTCTCTCCAGAGAAGGCTTCTCCAGCAAAGCCCCTGGTCTCTAGAAGAGCCCCCTGAGGGCAGTGAAGCAGAGCAGGCAGAGAGGTCCTGGGCCAGTCTTTGTAGGTACTGCTGGATGGTGGTCCCAGAGATATGCTACCTTTCCCCACCCCCAGGTTCACACCTTCCTCCTTTGGGCTCTACACTTTGTTCCTGCAGGTATACACAGGTGATCCTGAGTGGGTATCCTCCTACACAGGCCTCTGTGGCTCCTGGCTCCCTTCTGACTAGTTTTCTCTACTGATGCCCAGGATCCAACTCAGGACCTTGGACATGCTAAGCATGTGTTCCACCATTGAGCTACCCCCACAGCCCCTCTTCCCAGTTCTTGCATTCTGAAGGTGATAGAAGAAAGAGATGGGTAAATGATATCAAACTCAGTTGGGCTGAGAAATGGGCCACTTTGGGCACTAAAGAATGGGGACTTAGGGTTGGGATGTAGCTTAGTGGTAGTGTGTTTGCCTAACATGCCTGAGACCCTGGGTTCATCCCCAGCCCAGCAAAAAAAAAAAATAAGTAAAAGAAAAAAAATGAAAGGAAGAAAGAAAGAAAGAAACAGGAACTGGGAGGACAAGAAAAGAGGGAAAGGGTGAAAGTAGGGCCACCAGTGTGCAAGAGGAAACTGTTACAGCACCAGTGCCCTTGGGTGGCTTTTCCCATGCAGCACCCTACTGGGTCCCACCCACTCAATGCTAAGCCAAACTCCATGCAGCTCCATCACTAGGTGGCACTGTCCTCCTTGAAGCTCCTGGCCCCTCCCTGTGGATTATGGCAGAATGGGGCCATGGGAAGGAGCTGAGCTGATCTTCAAACAATAACAAAGGCACAGCAGTACTGGCTGTGGAAATAGTAAAACACATGGTCCAGATTGATAAATAGCTACTGCCCCTTTCCAGTGCCCCTAAGAGGCTCTGGATACCTTCAGAGAAACACTAATGAGTCAAAGCCCTGAACAGTAAGAATCCTCCAGATCAGCTATTCAGTTGGCATATCAGCCCTAGGCAGGGGCAGATACTTCCCAAGTCCCCAAACAAGCCAGGCTCCTCTGTCCCACAAAGGTTGAGCTAATTCCCCAATCAAGGCACAAAGCCTGAACTGGAGTTGAGCCTGCCAAGCTCAGACTGTGCCCTGGGCATGTGTCTTCCCCTTGCTGAGCTGCAGCAAAATAGGTGTAGGGGATGGTTTAGATGGTTCTAGGCATCCTTATTGCCACTTTACTGAACTATGATTCCCTGATATCTATACCTCCCCCCACATCTCTACATACACACAAATCGGCTTTTTCTTTTTTCTCCCCCAGAACTGACCCATGACCTGGAAATGAGAGAAGCCCAATCTCACCAGCAAGGTAAGAGAAGAACCACTGGTGGGGAAGTGTCATGGGACCCAACAGATCAAGTTCCCTCCAACCCTTGGTAGGACCTATGTCTCTCCATCCCAGCCTGAACATAGGGACAGCAACCTCCTCATATTGGTGACATCCTCACCAAGAGAGCATGTCAGCCCTGCCTGCCCATTCAGAGAGTGACCTTGTACAGTAAACAACCTGTAAAACCATATGAAGCACCCTGTATCCATGTCTCTGTCCAAAGTAAGAAAAGGAAAGCAGAAAGGAGATGGCTCTGTGGTTTTAATTCCACGTTTCTGGGACCCAGCTCCCCAGTTCTTCCCATCCTGTACAAGTGATCTACAGTAAATGTCCACACCCCACCAGATGCTGAGTGTCAAAATATAACACAATAGTAGCATGGAGTCCTTGGCTTTGAGGCACTTAGTCTAGATGAAAACAAAAGAGATACACCCACACACACATTAGCAAATCTTCCACTTCACAAAAGCATAACGTAGTGCTACTGTAGCAATTGCATCAGGACATTTTTTTTTCCCAAAGCATTATTTTACTTATAATATGGGAGTTGGGTGGGGAGATAGTGTTCAATGAGCACAAGAGTTCCAGTTTTGAAAGATGAAAAAGCTCCAGAGAAAACTGAGCACAGTGTTACACACCTGTAATCCCAGACACTAAATTGCCCAGGCTGGCCTCAAATTTGGGATCCTCTCCTGAGGCAGGAATATCCCAAATGTGAGTCCAGCCTGGGCAACTTAGTGAGACACTGTCTGAAAATAAATAAGTAAAAGGAATAGGAATGTAGCTCAGTGGTAAAGCATTCCTGGAGTCAATCCCTAGTACCACAAAAATTAATTTAATTAACTAATTAATTTTTAAAAATTAAAGTAAAAAGGGCTGGGGCTGTAGCTCAGTGGTAGGATGCCCCGGTGATTAGTCCCAAGTGTGAGGGGTAAAGAGAGGGCAGAAGAGCCAGATACAGAAGCAAACACCTGTAATGTCAGGAGGCTAAGGCAAGAGGACCAAAAGTTGGAGGCCAACCTAGGCAACATAGTGAGGCCCTGTCTCAAAATAAAAAATAAAAAGAACTGGAGCCAGGCACAGTGACACATGCCTGTAATTCCAGATGCTCGGGAGGCTGAGGCAGGAGGACTGTGAGTTCAGAACAATTTAGTGAGGCCCTAAGCAATTTAACGAGACCCTGTCTCTAAATAAAATATTAAAAAAGGGCTGGGGATATGGCTTAGTGGTAAAGTGCCCCAGAACCAAAGAAAAAAAATTCTAGGGGCTGGGGATGTGGCTCAAGCGGTAGTGCGCTCGCCTGGCGTGCGTGCGGCCCGGGTTCGATCCTCAGCACCACATACCAACAAAGATGTTGTGTCCGCCGAGAACTAAAAAATAAATATTAAAAATTCTCTCTCTCTCTCTCCCCTCTCTCACTCTCTCTTTAAAAAAAAAAAAATTCTAGATATCTGGGGTAGCCAGGTATTTCTCTGTGTGGTCCCAACTACTCAGGAGACTGAGTCAGGATCACTTGAGCCCAACAGTTCAAGGCCAACCCGGGCAACATAGGGAGATCCTGTCATTAAAAAAGAAAAAAAGGGGCTAGAGCTGGGGCTGGAGCTCAGTGATAAAACACTTGTCTAGCATGTGTGAGGCACTGGGTTTGAGCCTTAGCATGGCATTAAAATAAACAAATAAATAATTAAAAAGAAAAGAAAGTTCTAGAGATCTGTTGTACAATGTGAATATATGTAATACTACTAAACTTAAGAATAGTTAAGATGGGGATGGACACAGTGGTGCACACCTGTAATCCCAGCAGTTTGGGAGGCTGAGGCAGGAGGATCTTGAGGTCAAAGCCAGCCTCAGCAATTTAGGGAGGCCCTGAGCAACTCAGTGAGACCCTGTCTCTAAATAAAATACAAAAAAGGGCCAGGAATGTGGCTCAGTAGTTAAGCACCCATGGGTTCAATCCCTGGTGCAAAAAAACAAAAAATAAAAGAAAGAAAGAAATGGTTAAGATGGTAATTTTTATTTTGCTTTAACTATAATTTTAAAAAAATTAAATGTGGGACTAGGGCTGTAGCTCAGCAGTAGAGCACTCGTCTCACAAGTGCGAGACCTGGGTTCCATCCTCAGCACCACATAAAAATAAATAAATAAATAAATAAATAAATAAATAAGTGAAATAAAGGTGTTGTGTCCAACTACAACTAAAAAATAAATATTTAAAAAATTAAATGTGGCAGGAGGAAGATTGCCTTAATCTTAATCACCAGATTATAGGATTTTAATCATCAGATTATAGGTTCTCTAAGAACTAGGACTGGGTGTTATCCTTTGTGAAGTGCAAGACATGTTACCTGGCTTGGAGGGACTCTAAGAACTTAGCTAAAAATAAATCCAAAACTAGTTACTCTTGGCCAGAAGAGTTCTTAAGGACAAACTGCCATATTGCTGAGTTGCTTATAGATTAAGAGCTACATGACCAAGAATTGAAGACAAGGACAGCTGGAAGTTTAAGCTAAAATGCTAGGAGTCCTGCAAATTGCTTTATATATATAAAGATTAGCTGGGATCACCTAAATATTTCTTCTCACTCTGCTCACTTCCTTAGATGGCAGTCCTGGGCAACCCTTGGTCCTTAGGTCCTTAGACACCCCACACACACATACAAAAAAAAAAAAAAAACAGATGGACAGATCAGTGACAAGCAGCTTTCACCCCTACTGTCTTTCCTTTGAAAAGGTTTTTGGGGTCACGAGCTCAATCACTATCCCAATGTAATGAGGTCTTTTGTTTTTTTCTTCTCTCTCAATGAACTTGAGAACTCTTTCTTTGTCCTATAACTTGGTGATTTTCATGTCCTAGGGTTCCCTTTTACTTCTTCCTTCTCCTTCTATCCTTCTCTACGGATTGAACCCAGGAGACCATTGGGCTCCATCCTCATCCCTACCTTTTTTCCTTCTTACTGTTTATTTTTGAAACAGGGTCTCCCTAAGTTGCTGAGGTTCTCCTCCAACTTGCAATCCTCCAGCTTTGCCTGCCTCCTGGGAGTAGCTGGAATTATAGGCCAGCACCACCATACCCAGCCCACTGTTCCCTTTCCTCTTTCTGCTGCCTAGATCTCAACATTGACTCACATGTGCCAAGTCCCAGGATCCAGTCTTCCAGGATGGAGTTCATGATCCAGGAGGCTGGGGTCTTCAATTCTAGCTGTTCATGAGATTCACCTGTGAAAACCAAAGCACTATCACTTCCAGGTCCAATCCAAGAGATTGTGATTCAAATAGGCCTTGGTAGGGCCCAGGAAGTATTTTTTTTTTTTACATTGTCAAAGGATCTTTATTTATTTATATGCGGTACTGAGAATCCAACCCTGTGCTTCACACATGCTAGGCAAGCATTCTACCACTGAGCTAGAACTCCAGCTTAGGAAGTGGTATTTTTTTGTTGTTGTTTATTTATATTTTTGTGGGTGCTGAGGATCAAACTCAGTGCCTCACATGTTTGAGGCAACTGCTCTGCCATTGAGCCACAACTCCAGCCCAAGAAAGTGGTATTTTTTTTAAAAGCTCTCTGAGTGTTCCAATGTTATGTCCAGGGCTGAAACCTGCTGCAGGGGCAAAAGCAAACAATACCCAAGTAAACAAAACCTGAGGATTGAACCCAGGGGCACTCTACTGAGCTACATTCCCAGAGGTATTTATTTGTTTGTTTGTTTGTTTTATTGAGACAGGGTCTTGCCAAATTGCCCAAGCTAGTCTGGAACTTGTGATTCTCCTGTTTTAGCCTCGCCAGAAGCTGAGATTATAGGTGCCTGGCTTAAAAAAAAAAAAAAAAAAGATAAATCTCTACAAAGGAAACAAGGACACCGATTTCTCCCTTCCTGTGAACACTCCCAACTCTTCCAGCCCCTTGCTCTTGCCATGTCTTTCTTCCATGGGGCTTTTGAACAAGATGTTCCCTCTTCTGGAGCACACTTCTCCAGGGGAAGAGGTATTCATCCTTCAGATTCTAAGCCAAGCCTCTTCTGCCAGGAAGCCACCTCTGATTAGGTCACATCCTTCTGTTACAGCATTGATTGATTTGCTTCTTTTTGGAGCATGTCACAGTGTGACCTCATTTATTATTTACTATATCTCTTCCATTGCACTGTAAGTTTTTTGAGACCCATTTTATTATCCATCATATCCTCAATGCCTAATACAGTGCATATAGACAGCTCAACAAATTACTTTTGGAAAGACTAAATGGTCAGCAAGAGTTTCACATTTAAAATGAACCCGGAAAAGGCTAGGAATATAGCTTAGTTGGTAGAGTGCTTGCCTCACATGCACAAGACCATGGGTTCAATCCCCAGCACCAAAAAAAAGAACCCGGGAAAAATTACAAGAAAAGCCAGGATATGTGCAAGGATCCTGAGAAAGAAAAAGGCAGGCCACTGAGGCTGATTCGTGGGGAGGGAAAGAGCGCACCACAGGCCGCGTAGGTGGGGCGGACTAAAGCTTTGTTACACTGGCCGCTGAGCTGTGGGGGTTCTGCCCCACGCCAGGCGGGCACCGTCACCGCTCTCTTCTATCTCTTCTTCCCAGAGGAGGCGTCCCGGGAGCTGGAGAGCAAGTGCCGCGCGCTGGAGTCGCAGCTGGCGGCACGGACCGCCGCCAACGCAGAGCTGCGGCGGGAGGTGGCGCAGCGCGAAGTTCTGGTGTCCGCGCTGCGGTGCAGCCTGCGCGCGG